CAATCTCCTCAGCCAAGTTGGGGGAAATCAGACTCACTTAACAACCACAACTCACTTAACAACTGTCTTGCTTAGCAATCAAAACTCTGGTCTCAACTGCAGTGCTAAATCAGCGACTACTTGTACTTTTAAGAAATTAGCTATGTTTATTTGAGCCCTTAATCCACAGGTAGATTGTCATGATGGTGTATGTCTAAAGACATACGAAGACAAAGGTATGAAATAGTTCAGCCCTTCTCAGAACATTGATTTAATATAAAAGATATCCACCATTCAATGATGGGCCGCTTGTTCTATTGGCGTAGAAGAGGCTCACCACATCTGCTATATAATCCAGACTCTTATTTTACAGTGGTTTCACCACCAGCCATAAAAACTGTAACAGTGGAACTGTATAAACAAATTGAGCAGTGTTTTTACTGTAAAACACGAGCACAACTATAAATATTTGTCTTCCCCTTCTCTCCGCATCTGTAATGAGAGAAAGCAAATTCATACCATATGTTTATCGTACAAGGAGAAAAACACGTACCTCAATAGTTCATCCAAGTTTGGGAAGCTGTTAAATTGTTTTAATTCACATTTACCTTTTAAACGCATGCATTTCCTTAGATAAATCACTCAGACGAATGTTTCGGGTGTCCAAATGCCGATGGAAATGTTATAGCAATAAAACCAAAATTGGGAGGGGGAGAAGGTGGGGGAGGGGAATGACGCCTTATGCTATTTGTTGCATTTACCTATCATTTTATTTTAAACCTGGACAGATTTCTTTGCCGCAGAATCATTGGATGCAATACTATAGTAACAAATTCCATATAAAAAAGGCTCTGAGGTCGGAATAATATTTTGCCACTCAAGGCACGGAAAGACAAGCAAGTACTAGCTTACGACTCTGAGGTCACAATTTTTGCTGCTAACCAAAGTAGCTAAGAACGGAGTGGTGCCCAATTTGGTGACTATTGCCAAGCAGATCATTGCAGTCCTTAAATGAATCTGGCTTCTCCTCCCCCCATTGATTTTGCATCTCAGAGGCCAGCTGATCACCAATGGACATCATACGACCCCGGATTCTGCAACCAGTATAAAGATACATGTTGATCACTAAGCATCTGAATTTTGCTCATGTGGCCATGGGGGAATGCTGCAACAGTCATAAATGTGAGGACTGGTTTTAAGTCACTTTCTTCAATTCTGTTTGGTTACTAAACAAATAGTTGTAAGTTGAGGACTACCTCAATTGTATACGCTTTTCTCATGTATGAAAGCAAACAGAAGGAGGTGGTGTCTTTTGTGCACTGAAAATGATTTGCATTCTCTATCAAGGAGGACTGGTTGAAGGAATGAAGAATAAACAAAATACCACACGAAGAAAATATTGCTACTGTTGGTTGATGATCCTCTATCTAAAGACAGAGCCAATCTTCCCCACTGCTTTTATCCTATAAAGGATAGTAAGCAGGGGTGGGCTGCTGTGGGTTTGCACGGGTTTGAGTGATCCTCTAAGATTCTGCGCGGTTCGGCGAACCTGCAAATCCCACCCCTGGTTGGCCACACCCACCCTGCCCCACCATTCCCACATGGCCTGTTTTGGATGCCAGGTAAGTACAGGACCTGCGCGGAGGCTCAGGGAGGGCAAAAAATTGTCCTCCCAGAAGGCCTCCAGAGCCCATGGAAGACATTTGTGATGACCTGGGGCATGGCACAAAGGCAACACAGTCCGATAATCACTAGGAGTCCCTTTATTAGCTCCAACTTTGCCCCCAGTGTCCTGGTTACCTTCTGGGCTGGAGAAAAACTCTCCCAGGACCAGCCTTTGGCTGCAGAGAATCAAGTCCAAAGCGTGGTCAACAAAAACTGTAACTACTGTATACGTCCAATCAAGGTAAAATGAGGTAATTAGTCTGGCAGGGAAGGAGCAAGGCCTTTGATGATTGACAAGCAGCGCTAACAGTTATTTTTCCCTCTGCTCGTGATCCGTTAGATTCAATCTCATCACTCTGGATATTTTCTGAAGTCTTCATTAAGGAAATACCTACAGTTGGGAGCTGTGAAAACCTGCTCAATCATTACTCTTTCATTCAATGATGTCAATGTAATATAATAGGAAATAGGCCTCTGATTTCTAGTTTGTGGCATAGGATTTCAGCAATCTCATGAGCAAACGTGTTTACAAACTCTACTGGAGTGTTTTTCATTAAGTCTTAAAGTCAATCAAGCGAATTGGAACAATCATTCCCTTCTTTGCAAAGTATTGATATATATTTTTTTTTTCTCCTGGCTGCTTTAGGGCCTTGGCTATTGCTGAGAGATTTATGCTTGACAATGTCTTTTTTATTAAAATGAATCAAAGATCTGAGACTCTAATTTCCTTTTTGGAGGAAGAGCTGGCTCTGGTTTTTGCAGCCAAGAAATTAACACACAGTTCTAAATTATGACCAAATTCTCAAACACCACTGTAGCTAGAGATCTATCAATTTGGGTTTTCCTCCATTAAACATTTTTACCCTAATAGACTATTGCTATTAGTGAATTTGGACAGAGAGAAAGAAATATACACAAAGAGTTGTAAGACTTGGGAGAGTGAGAGGGTAACTTTCTGTTTCATATATCTGTTTTGCATATCCTTTATTTAGGATACTATTATACCGATTCAATATTACCTGATGTTCCCCAAGAATAAAGTCAATTGGAACATGAAAAATTGGCCACATGAACTGATGGCAACTCAAATGTACATGGAGTATCTCCCAGAAGTAGAGCCCCAAAATGCATATTTTAATGTTCCAATGTTATGTGTGTCATTTTAATTGTTGACTGTAAGCCACCTAGAATAGTCTCAGAGAGATGGGTAGCATAGAAGTCTAAGAATAATAAAGTATTTTCCACAAAGCACTATCTTATTTCTTGGACTGCAAGAGACATGTTTGGTAGGTATGGCTCTATGAAGTGTTGCATCTTTACAAAAGATCACTTTCACGCTTAATTTTTATTTTATTTTCCTCTAACGAGATTAATTTTGCCACAAAAGGAACAAGATGTTTGCATTTCACTAACCTCTTTAAAAGACATGTTTGCAATTCCAGTTGCTATACTCTGATCTAGAGGAGTTTGTGTTCTGAAGAACCATTACTCTTTCTGTGTCGTCTTAAGACACCGTTCCAGTAACTCAATTCAAGTGCTAGTTAATGCAACATTTCGCAGTCAAAACAGATCAACCAATGGCATCAAAGCTAGTCTGTCATTGGTAGAGGCCATACAATTTAAATAAAAGATACTTTGAAGAGAAATCCATTATATCAATAGACTTTTAACAAAAAGTGTTGACAAACTAATACAAATACACTTAATAAAGAATTTTTTTAAAAACAGTGCCATTCTATTAGATTTAGACCATAAATCCATTGCAATTAAAATTGCCTTTTTTCAGTTTAAGTAGCTTTTCTTTATCTTCCTCCCAAGATTACTTCCAACTGACGTAAATTCTGCATACCCCTTAATTCTCTCCTACTTATGCAATTCAAGTAGTTAAAGTTCAGTAACAACTTATTCTTTCTGCTTCAGCACCCGCACTTCATTTATGTATTTTACCTGAGTCATAAATCTGAGGCATTGTCGAAGTGCCATAATATTAGTGGAATCATCAAAGTTAATGAGTCCTTCTCGATAAACAACAGAAATCCCATTACAAAGATAGACCGAAGGTACTCCAGCTATTGTACTCTAAGATTAAATACTATTGTGAATAATTAGGAGAGAGAAATGGCTAATGAAGAAAGTGCTCCACTTTTGAAGCTATTCAAAAACTTTGCTTTCCCGTCCATGCCAAGGATCGTAACTTTCATATTGCATTGATTATCACACCGCACATGAGTGAAACCTTCTGAAAAAAAAGATTATCATCCTCCTGGGTAGACCAACATATGAGGACTATAGTTTCTAGCTGAAACAGGAACTTCAGTTAAACTTTAGTCTTCTTTCTGCTCAGGTTTCTTAAGTTTTCATCCAATGTTGTATTTTTATTAAAACACACACACACGAGCACAGATGGAGCATCCATTCTCTTAGATCTCTTGACCATGTTAGCTATGAATTGGGTGAGTTTAACTTCTATGGGCCTGGAGAGCATTATGTTAGGAAAGCAGAGCTAGATGTTGTGATGATTGTATGGTGTATGCTAGGTCTCCCAAATGAACTGAAGCTACATTCAACCCTAGAAAGGTGACAGAACATTTTCACAAGACAGATTCCATACAAACATTTGAAATACACTTCACAAAGACGGGTGTCTTTCATAGACTTCTATTATATTTTATCACACTATTTAATGCAATGTGTTTTAGAACCCACACCACTAGTAGTACACTCCGTAACAGTAAAATCACTTGTATTAAAAGTTAAATCAGTCTCTCCTTCAAATTGGGCCCAAATATTCAACTTTGCAATTTGCCTGTATTCCTCTCAAAATTTTAGAGGAATCATATATTCCATCTCTCTTTATCCTCTTTTCCATTTTCAGTCTTCAATGTGAATTTAATCTCCACTTTAAATTATAAACTTCCTCAGACTAAGGCCTGTCTTGTTATTCCAATGGAATAAATTATATATTAGGAATGAGAGAGAGTCTTCTCAATGACGGGATCCAACACAGTGATATTTCCTCCATGGATAGGACCTCAAGAGTTGTCGTTTCCTTTCCAGCTCAAAATCTAAACGCTGATTTGCTCAGGCATTTTTTTTATTGTATGTGTATTTCTCTCTCTCATTGATATCTATCTATCTATCTATCTATCTATCTATCGTAGAAATCACCCATCTCTCAGAATGATTCGTTGACATCTCTACATTTTATTAATGTAATTTTAATTTCTCATTTTTAAGTGGCATCTTATACAACATTAGGCACCAAGTGTGGAGCTTAGGAGTTTGAAGTAGGAATCTCTGAACATTTATAAGTTTTAAAGCATAAATGTACATATTTACAAAGCAAAGGCCCTTACCCATTCTTTCAAGATCTGGCGCACGGCCTCATCAGCTCGTAAGGTATTTCGGCAAGCTAAAATGACATGGGCACCATGGAGGGCAAAGGATTTTGCCGTTTCGAAACCTGTCACGAAACACATATGGAGAAGATACAGTAAGGAACACAACATCAGGTCAGCAGAGACATCTGTCTGCCTGGGTCCTAAGTATTTGTGAAAATGTTTATTCTACCGACTCATCAAATTTCAAACTGGCTTACAAAAACCTGGAACCGATACAAAACAAAGTCAACTTAAATGCATGGATATGGAATAAAAATAGCAGTGTTAAACTTGGCAATCAGCTTTTTTCCTGCTTTCAGATGTGAATTCATTAGCGTGATTAACTGTTGCTCTTTCGCGTTTTTATCCATTTCCTTTGAGATTTTTCAATTACAGGTTTCTTTTTAAAAAATGCTTCAGCTAACGTTTTAAATGTAACACAGACTTTGGAGGCAAGTGGGGGGGGAGGCAGCTGTAAAAGCACCGAAAATGAATCCAGTGAAAAAAAGCCAATGCAAATCGCCATGACCCAACTATTTAAAAACTGACAAGACCTTTAGCACATGGATTAATCTTCTGTTTCAGTTAGTGGAAGTACCCCACGCTTGAAGAGGCAACTGAGAAAAGGGACTCGTTTCAATCCCTATCCATTTGGGCGAGGGAGTGAAGTCAGAGTCCCTGTCTGCTCTTTCCAAAAGTAGACACAATATTTATTTACTTATTTACTTGTTTATGTGTTTGTTTTTATGTGTTTATTTATTAATGTGTTGACTTATTTATTTCCCGCCTTTATCATTTCTTACAAACAACTCAAGGTGGTGAACATACCCAACACACCTTCCTCCTCCTATTTTCAACTGTTTAAATCCTCCTATTAAATCCTCCTCCTGTTTGCAATCCTTATGCTATTTACAAACCTTCAGACCATCCCACACACAAATACACCCTTCCCTCAGAAGTGGGCTTCAAAAATGTTAGCAAAGGGTTCTCTGCCCGATTGCTGGGTGGGTGTGGCCATGGTGGGCGTGGCCTAGTTGGCCTCCTGCACCATGGCAGGGAGGGGGCATTTTTGCCTTCCCCAGGCTCCAGAGGCTTTTTTCGAGCCTCCGGGAGGGTGAAAATGGCCTCCCCGGGCCCCCGAGGCTCTCTTGAAGCTGGAAACAGGCCCATTTTCTGGCCTTCCTGAACTTCCGGGAAGCCCGTTTTTCACCCTCCCTGCCCTTACCTGCATCTAAAACGGGCCATGTGGGGACTCCTGGGAGGGGTGGGGCGGGATGGGCGGGGCCAGCCAGGAGTTTGATTTGGGGGTTCTTCAAACTGTACAGAATCTTAGCTAGGGGCTTTCCCGAACCCCTGCCTCAGATCTTCTTCATCCGTTCCCTCAGAAATCTACTCGCAACCTTTCTTCGTGCAGGTGTTCCTACCTGGCTACCTGGCTAATTTGAGCCACACCCCAGGGGGAGGGGGTGTTTCAAGACAGGCTGACTTTTGTTTCTGTGTGTGTGCATGTGTGTGTGTGTGTGTGTGTGTGTGTGTGTGAGAGAGAGAGAGAGAGAGAGAGAGAGAGAGAGTTTTTTTAAAAAAAATATATTTGTATTTTGAATGCAGTGTATCTTCCAGGCATACCATTTTACAAAAGGAAAAAAGAAAAAGAAATAGAAACATATATACTGATAGCAATAGTAATAGTACAACAAAATAATTCTAAGCATATTTATGATTATATTAGCTTCTTTGTAATCCTATTGATTATATTAGCATACTTATAAACAACATTCAATGTTTTAACTTGAACACAACAAGAAACAATCTTTCTTCATCTAATTTCTGGTCAGAGAGGATGACTTTTCGAAGTGGCTACAACCCCATCCAGGCTTTTGACCTCACAAAGGCAATGGCACAACGGAGGGCAGAGAGGGGTTGTGCATAGCCGGAAAGGTTAAATGAGCCGTGGTGGCGCAGTGGTTAGAATGCAGGACTGCAGGCTACTTCTGCCGACTTCCAGCAGTTTGACAGTTCAAGACTTACCCGGTTAGCCTACCATCCTTCTGAGGTTGGTAAAACAAGGATCCAAATTGTTGGGGACAATATGCTGGCTCTGTAAACCGCTTAGAGAGGGCTGTAAAGCACTGTGAAGCGGTATATAAGTCTAAGTGCGATTGCTGTTGCTATTAAATCAAATGGCCTTGGAAGGGGAGGTTACATCTGAAGATTACAAGCTATTACAAGCAGCGAGACGGCTTTCGTTCAACTACCAGGATCATAAGCTATGCTAAATAGCCTGACCTCGGGGATGCCGCAATGTGTGAAAAACGGTCATGTCACTTTTTTCAGCACCTTTGTAACGTCTAATAGTCACTAAACAAACCGCTGTAAGTTTAGGTCAACCTGCACTATATAGAAGGGAGAAGATGCAAGATTTTTAAGCATTTTGCTGTGGAGAATCTACCCACAAATAAGAAATTGGCATTGTATCAATCATAATAGAACTGGAAGGTACCTTGAAGGTCTTCTAGTCCAACCCCACCTGCTCAATCAAGAGAACCTATACAATCTCAGGAAAAGTGACTGTCTAGTCTCTTCTTAAAAACTTCCAGTGATGGAGCACCCACAATTTCTGAAGAAAAGCTGTTCCACTGATTAATTGTCCTCACTGTTTGGAAGTTTCTCCTTAATTCCAGGTTGCTTCTCTCCTTGATTTTTTTTCCATCCATTGTTTCTTGTCCTGCCTTCAGGTGCTTTGGAGAATAAGTTGACCCCCTCCTGTCTATGGAGATTCTCAGTCATCCAGATCATGGTTGTCCCAAAAGTGCTTTTTCAAGAGGACTTTCTGGTTTTTCTTTGAAGACATGCCGTTTCTCATCCAAGAAACTTCTTCAGCTTCTTTGTCTTGGATGAGAAGCTAAATGTCTTCAAAGAAAAACCAGAAAGTCCAGTTCCTTCTTGAAAAAGCACCTTTGGTTGACCCCTTCCTCTTTGTGGCGACCACTCAAATACTGAATACTGCTATTATGTCCCCTCTAGTCCTTCTTTTCTCTAGATTAGCCACCCCACTTTAATACTTTCCAATTAGAAAGACTCAAATTAGTGCTTGAATATTCAACACAACAGATAAAAAAGATGACAATTTGTTCCTTTTTTGTTTTAAGCAAGATGCAGGATTGGTTTAAATCTTGTTTATCCAAAGGAAAAAAAAAACACTATTAAATATACACAGCTTCACTTCTAGCAGTACCCTGGGGCAAGACAAATTTAGTTTACAACATAGGGTATAACTTAAGATTAAAGAAACAACAGCTTACATAAATTTATACCATTCTGTGCAATTACATGCTTACAGTGTTTAAGTCTAAGCAATTTCTCTTCCTTTTTAAAGCCATTCATTGTATCAGGCAACTTTAATTATCTGCGTAATTCACCGCACACAGATGAATCTAGTTTTCAACATATGCAAAATACTTTTCCCTGTTTTAATTCCACTGAGCAAATGCAAGCAAAGAAACTTTCAGAAGGCAGTTGCTGAGCTGCTCCATTTTTAGTGGGCCATATGCTTTACTGTTTTAATAAAATAAAGATTGATATTTAAAAGCCATTTACATTTGTTTCGAAATTGGTTTCATACTGTAATACAAACAAATAGCACTTGATTACTAAGTTTAAGTACTCCCCAGCAAATTTCTAACAGAAGATCAGAAGTGCTGAAAATTAAAATGGTTGCTTAGTGCCTTTTCCTTTTCCTCTAAATCTTCACAATTAAGAAAGATCTGACATCCTTTCTCAGTTCCCTTCCAAAACTCTTCAAACATCTTCTGGGCTGATTCTAATTAACAACTGTGGTTAATATGAACACACCTTTTTTAATATTCATTGTCAACTGAGAGTGGGATCAGTTTGCCAGAATGTCTGACCCTCTCAGTCCATCTAGGAATATTTTATGCAAAGTGCTTTGAGCTCCAATCCTTTCCTAGTTTTGGAAAATCCTCTCAGTTGATTTGCAAATGTCTTGCTCAAATACTACCTACATCCCTCCCTACATGAAACTATGCAGGTAATCTTCAAATTACAATCCTCAAGTTACCTATACATTTTTAAAATAAATCAAAACATTCATTTAGTGATCATTCGAAGTCACAATGGCACTGGGGAAAAAAGGGGAGTTATGACATTTTTCACTTACGGCTGTTGCAGCAACCTATGGTCACATGATCAAAATTTGCACACTTGACAACCAGTGTCAGCCTCAGAAGCCGTATTTCACTTAGAAGCTTCGAGGCTGCCACATTTACTGGCTGGGGATTTGGGAAAGGGGGATTTCATAGAGAGGTGGAAGATTAGACTCAACAACATTCTTTCTCAGAGAGTCAAGGACATGGTGCCCTGCACCTGGAGGGGAGTGACTGGAGGGATGTCTCCAATGGGGATGAAGATTTGATTGGGCCATGTGATGGACTGATGGGTGCAGAGGATGGATCTTTGAATTTCTATTGGGAAGGGAAAAGATTCGGGTTTTCCCAGATGTGCCAATATGACAACTCTAATAAAATGGAACTTTGAGAAAATGCTTGTCTCAGAGTTTATTGGTTTGGAGATTGCTAGTCGGAACGCTGACAGCATGTATTTATGATGGTTGCAGTTTCCTGGGGTCACGTGATCACCTTTTGTGACCTTCTGACAAGCAAAGTTAATGGGGAAGACAGATTCACTTTACAAACAACTTAACAACTACGGTGGTTCACTTAACAACCGGGGCAAGAATGGTTGTAAAAAGGGGCAAAATTAACAGCTTAGCAATGGAAATTTTGGGCTCAAATGTGGTTGTATGCTCAGGGCTATGCTTTAATTGTATATGTTAAAAAAAACAGAAGGAAAAGATGTAAGAAGAAAGTTCAGGGGGTGTATCTTCATAATAAAACCGGTGTGAATATTAACAGTGTATATACAAAAGACTGTTGTAATAATGCTCCGTATAAAGCTGTATGTAGCTCTAATAACCAAGTCTAAGCTGAATTTCCCCTGATAATCTATTTTAAAAGGCAACAAGCCAACAAAAAACATGGCTCACCCCATATTAATCATTTCCTTA